AAAAAAAAAAAAAAAAAAAAAAAAAAAAAAGAGTAAAAAGCTTGAAAGAAAATGGAGAAATAAAAACTGACCAACAGAGAAGCAAAGATGAGAATTACATCAGATTTCTTAAAAAAATCAAGCCAACAAGAAGAGACTGAAGCAAAATATTTAAAGAGATAAGAGGAAAAAAACCCGCCAATTTAATATTCTGTATCCTGCAAAATGTTTTCACTTTGGCACCACATATACTAAAAGTGAAATGACAGAGATTAGCATTGTCTTTTAGCAAGCATAACATGTAAATTTGTGAAGTATTCCATATGTTTAATTATAGTTAGGGGAAATAAACTTATAGTGATTACTATAGTTAATGATCATCGACTGTGTTCTTAAAAATATTGAGTGTGTGGGCTAAGGATTTAGCTCAGTGGTGCTGCACTTGCCTTGCAAGTGCAAGGTCCTGAGTTTGATCCCTGGTATTGGAAAAAGCAAACAAATGAACAAACAAACAAATAGAACAATGGCAACAAACCCACACTGAGTACTGTCACCACAGAAATGATAATTGTGTGAGGTAATATATATTATTTAGCTATATTTAACCATTGTACAATGTATCTATGCACTTTAAAATGATATGTTATACTTAGTAAATACACACAGTGCTGTCTGTCAATTTAAAAGGAGTAAGAAAAATAAAACATTGTTCTTTTAAATATTACCTTCACTTATCCTTTCTTTACTGCTTTTCCTTTCTTATGAAGATCTGACTTTCTCATCTATATAATTTTCCTGCTCTCTGAAGCACTTTTAAAGACATTTCTTTCTTTTTTTTTTGGTACTGGGCATCGAATTCAGGACCTTGCATTTGCGAGGCGGCACCACTGAGCCAAATCCTCAGCCCTTTAAAGGCATTTCTTGCAAAGCAGATCCATCAGCACAACGTTTCCTACTTTTGTAGGTATGAAAGTCTATTTCTTCATCACTTTTGAAGGAAGATTTGCAGGATGTAGAATACTAGATTGGTGAATTTTTCCTTTCAATGCTTTAAGTATTTCGCTTTACTCCCTTCTTGCTTGCTTGACTTCCAAGAAATTGACTAAGTTATCTTTGCTCCTGCATAGGAGCTTTTTTTCTTTTTCAACATTTTTTATTCCTTGTGCTTTCCCCTTATCATCTACTCCTTTATCCTTCATTTTATGCAGTTTGACTATGATATACCTATGTATAGGTTTTTTGTTTTTGCTTTTGAAATTTATCCTGGCTAGTGCTCTCTGAGCCTCCTGATTCACGTTTCTTCTGTTTCTTTCTTTTCCTTTAGATATTCCCATTACGTGTATGTTATGCCTTTTGTATATACATTGATATGTGCCCTTAGCATATTAGTCATATTGGTTTTAATGTCCAGTCTGACATTCCAGCATCCTGTCACATCTGACTCTGGTTGTGATGCTCTCTCTGTTTCCCCAAGCTAATTTTTGCCTTGTGATTTTTTTTTTTGTTGAAACCTATACATGATGCATTTCACAAAAGTAATTTCAATAAAATGGGATTTTAGTGATGTGGTGGAGAGGTACAGTGGAGGGGAGTGTTTCATGGTCCTGTGGTTGTCTCAGTCCTTTGGTGAACCAGAACCCCTTGCTGTGAACTTTATCAGCCCTTCTCAGTTTTCCCTTTCTCTCAGGTTGTGGCTAGAAGGGGCTGGGTTGGGATTTCTTTTCATACCAATGGAAGTTAAGAGAAGGTCAAAATTGAATATTTCCCTTCCCCCAGATCAATTTGTTCCTGACAAAATAGTCTGCCTTGGAGCTGATGTTAAGAAGAACAGAATGCTCTTCCATATTTAAAAATGATCACTCTTCTCATTCCCCTGCTACAAGTAGGACAGGAGTTTTTCTCTGCTATTTATTGTAAGAACATGGTAGAGATCCTGAACATAGAACTCACAAACATGTGCCCCCAGCCTCCCAGCCCCATTACTGGATCTTCCTGGAGTTTTAAATTCTCAGGTTTCCCAACAATGATTCTCCAGAAATTCCTTAATTACAGTTTAGGTTTTCCTACCATGGCACTAGGTCCAGTGGAAGTTTCTGCTTGTGGGTTTCTGCTCCAGTTACTTATGATTCTCCCTATTCACCTGTTTCTGTAGGTTTTAGGGCAGAAGTTTGCCCTGTGACTTTACTTCTCTGATTAGTGTAAGAAGAGATATTGGTTTTTCCATTTGTTAAACTTTTTATTTGTTGTTAGGACAGAATGACAGCTTCCAGACTCCTGACATGCTTGATTGAAAAGCACAAGTCCCACAACCATGTTTTGCACACTCACGTAGAAGTAAACACTTTAAAAATATTATCTCACTTAATCCTAATATCAACCTGGAGTAAAACCATTACATCATTCTATAGGTGTGATTCTTGTTGCTCAGCAAGAATTAGGTGGCCACACCGATAGAAAGAATGTAGGATTTGTACTTCTGTCTGTTTTCAAAGCTTGTGTGCATCCCACCTACCATGCTGCCCGGCAGAATTAAGTAGATTCAGGATAGACTTCAGGCCCAGAGTCAAATATGAACTAGAAATAGACTCAGGAGCCCAGACCAAAAAGTAAGAAGAAACCCAGAGGCTAAAAAGGTTTTTAGAACTCATTCTTGGCAGGCCATCAGCCAGGTCTCCCCAGGTAAGTGCTGAATCTTGATTGATTTGCTTTCCATCTCTGTCACCTTGAGCAAGCCACTTTACCTCTCCTAGCATCAGATTCTAAATAGGTAACTCAGGGCCTAGAAAATGGTAACTGCTTAAAAAAAAAAAAAAAAAAAAAAAAAAGAAAATTTT